AAGTAACAGATAAGGAATTTTGTACCAGCACCCATATACAATTTTATACTATTATTTTACTATGGTAATACATACATATGATAGATGTAGAAAAGAATTTAAAAAATTAGCAAAACTTCGTATACATCTAAACCGAAAAAATCTATGTAAACTTAAAATTCTAAATCCTATTACAACTCCAATAGCATTACTACAAAATCCTGCTGCAAATCAAATTCCAACTCAAACCTATGTTCCAGTAGGTGATTTAATCCAATTGGATGGCAACCTTCTTCACCTATTCAAAATATATCTTCAGACAATGTTTCTTTGAATTTACCTCAAAATGATACAGAATGGTTTGATAATATAGAAGATAAATATAATATAAATACTGATAAAAAATAGCCCAAATTAGCTGGAACCTTGCTCTATAACTATCCAAAAAGAAATATCATAAAGATAGAAAGTAATTTTGGTAGTAAACCAGTAAGAAAAAACTATAGACTAATGAACAAAGAGTTAATATTCGAAAAATGCAAATTTAATTTAGATTCTTTAAGACCTCATCAGAACTTAACAGCAATGAGTTTATGGCAAGCAATTATTCCATCTCCCAAAAATATAAAATATAGATTCAATTGTTATGTCGAGAACCCCAATAAATATTTAGAAGCCCCATATATGCCCCAGCTTATAGCAAATGCAAGAGAACAAATTACAAGAGTTCTTAAAGCTGAATTGTGTAAAAAAGATCAAATAAAAACTGCATTAATTGCTCAATATATATATTCTGGGCATATTAGCAAAGAGAAGGGCAAACTTAAAAGTCCATTAACTATATTTGCTTATCACAGAAGCCTTATGCGTGTTATTCTTATAGAAGAAAATATTAATGAATATATAAATTTATCTATATCAGAAATAGATAATGCTATAGACTCATTTATGCAAGAAGGATCAGGAATGAATTTGGTAAGGATTGAAATGTTAACTATTGAAGCTTATACTTATCGAAGAACAACTGGTGGATCATATATCCCTACTCCCAAAAAGCTCGCCAATACCAAATATACAAGTAATCCTGATAATTTAAAAATAATCGATCCAGATACAGATATGCCATCTATAATTGTCTTCAAGGCGCATTAGCTTGTTATTTTGCTCATAAAGATGGATATACAGAATATCTTGAATGAATATTTACTAAAAAGGATTATAAGCAATACTTGGATATAGTCAATTTAGATGGAATTCCAATGCCTATACCAATTTGCCCACGTATATTCAATAAGATAGAAGAGATGAATCTAGATATTTCTATTAATATTTGGGAATAGAAAGAGGAAACAGCTACTCCCAAACCAGTAATAGCTAGCAAGACCTATAATAGACAACAAATTATTGACCTTATGGCTCTTATAGATATTACTAAATCTGAAGAAGATAAGTACAGACAAAAAAAACTACTTTCTTTGGATTAAAAATTTAGATGGGCTAGCTTATAGAGATACTGCTCATCATGATAAAAAATATATTTGTAAAAAATGTACTATAAGCTGGCCATTAGAAAAGTCTCTAGCATATCATCAAAAGCACTGTTTTGGTTTAGGAGAAGCAACTCAAGAAGTCAAATTACCTATCAATAATGTCAATGACTTTGAGAAGTTTAAGAACTATGGACAAATGATCAATGCTCCATGTGTTATTATAGCTAACTTTGAGGCTGATAATAAGAAATGTGATGAGAAATATAGTGGGCAAATGCGAAAGCTTGCTGAACAAAAGGCCAATAGCTTTTGCTACTTGGTTTACTGGATCGATACTGGAAAGGTATTACCATAGTAAAATAATAGTATAAAATTGTATATGGGTGCTGGTACAAAATTCCTTATCTGTTACTTATAAAA